ACCGGAACTGTTAATGTCAGCATGCAGCCGCATAAATCCCAACAAGTGCGTTCACCTCCTTAACCATACGATAGAGCGCCAACGTGCACCAAAGCAGGCGCATTCTTTTCAATTGTTTTGTATTGCTGTTGTTACAGTTGTTGTTGTTAAAGTTGTTATATTTGTTTTTGTTTTTTTTTATTATTGATTTAACGAGCTACACAACCTTTTTGAGTGAATAATATCTTCAAAGAGGGTGAAATGTGTAGAGACGGTGTAGGAAATGTATGCAAACACTTGTTCCAATACAACATAATCAAAACAAGGACTATAACGAGTAGTCAATAACCAGAAGCAACGGAAATACAACCAAAATTTATTTAATTTCATAAAATATAAAATCCAACCAAGTCAAATAATGGCATTAAACGATTTCTTTGGGCAATAAGGTATGACGTATTTATAACCGCATTACCCTAAATTACATTACAACAATGTAGACATAAAAGAAAAAGCATTCATATAGAACTCATATACTTGCATATAGGTATATATAGGTATAATAACAGAAAAATTATAAAAATCAATCACTGTAACGGGAGCCAACACTTAGCTCATCATTGAAATAGAAAATAGCACGGTAATTTTTGGGATTTAGAAATGAAATTAATTTAAACTCTAACGATACCACACCTATTACGTTTCTAAATATGAAACTGTAGCAACCATCTTTAAAATTCAACAGTTGGAAAATTATGGGAAATAACAAATTATAGTTCGAAACATACTTTGGGCAATAGGTAGAATTAATTTTTTCTTCTTAATTAAAATATCAGATTAAAAAGAAATCAAAGTGTATAAAGTAAAAAAATTTTGAAAATACTACTAAAAAAAAAATTCCAGTAATAAAGCACGATGCTGATATGTTATGTCATGAACTCCTGATTAATAAAATTATATTAATTTAACATTTAATATTAGAGATGCTCGCATTTTATGAAACTCCATCCAACAGATGTGTGTAGATGTGCAGTTTTAAGTGTCCATATACATTAGTAGACTGCAAGATTTAGAAGTCTATAGAAGTCTATGAATACTGAGTCAAGTATTTAAGTGTCCGTATATATACGACTAGTACTAGGAATCTCACTCTGTTAATACAGAAACACAACTTTTAAATGTTCGTTTATATTAGACCACAAGTAGCAAGAATCTCTATCTGTTAATACAAAAACTCATATTTTCCGTGCCCCTCTTTATAGTAAAATGAAAACGCCATGAATATAACTTTTTTAATTTTATTGACAAATCTGCTCTATTAGATCCCGGACCCATTATTATTATTGTTAGGGGATATGGCACTGCGAGCTTCGGGTCTATTGTGTTCCCTGCTGGGTTTAGAGTAGGTCTCTAAGCCCTGTTGCGTCAATAAAATGTAGTATAGAACCTACTTTATAGAGTTTTATTGCCTCTTCCGTAGGAATATACATTTCCAGGAGTCTATTCCGTATGTGCATTAGCGCAGGGCATTCTAAGAGCATATGTGTAGCCGACTTCTCATTCTTTACAGAATCTACAGTTTGCATCCATAAGTATACCCAGTCTTATAAGGTGGTATTTTAGTTTACAATGCCCTCTTAGAATTCTAAATTTTTCTTTTGATAGGTTCATACAATCCTGGTATCTCTTATTGTTATATGTACCAATATGTAATTTGGATTACTTTAATCTTGGTATATTATCTCAGTAATCCTTTTAATTCTGGTTCTCGGACCCATGTTGTATTTCAATTTTACTGAACAAATTATTAAAGAACTGAAATTTTTTTGTGCCAGCTGTTATCGAATAAAATTGGTATTGTACTATATATTTTATTATAGACAATGAGCAAAATAGAAAACATCCGGAATTAGTGTAAGAATTAGTGCTATAAAGTATTTACATCAGCTAAACTAGAGAAGAATAACACTTATTAATAATATTTGTAACAAAAATGTAATGTTGATAATGAATTAATAAGTATTAAATAAACTGTATTAAAATTGAGTACGTGCTGCCCACACCGAGTCTTTTTTCTGAAGAGAGATTAGAACATCGTGTGGTCAAACTACATACCATATTAACACGTTCTGCAGATGAAATCATATACATTCAATTATCTATACAAATAAATAAATGCATTACTTCGTGATAAATTTGTGATAGGTCATGTAAATATTTTCATGGCTATTACATGTCACTGCGAACATTATTAATGCAGATGTTACACCAAAACTAGTATCAACTGGTATATACAAAGGCGTAATCACTTTGGAACGTCAAAATTGTGCCACTCAAGTATCATACAGAATACAGAACCTGTATGCCAAAGAAACTAGTTAAATATTTCATATGCCAAATTTCTAGATAAAAAGTGTAATTTATAAACAAAAGAAAACAAAACAGAAAAAGGAGAGGCGTTTAAAATATGTATGTGCCACTAATATGGAAGTGGGCAAAAACCGGCACATGTGTCAAGCAAAGAATTGGAAATCAAAAAAAAAAAAAATTATAATATATACATATAGAATAAAATACAGACATGCTGACACTATTCAAAACAGAGCCGTTAAACCAAACATGAATTATGTATTAGAAAAATGTAGAAGGAGGTGGAAAGGCATAAACGCGCGCAATGCTCGATGACGTAATCAAGATACAGTAATAAAATATATATTTTTTTTTTCAAAAATTGTAAATAAGAATAATTATTATTGCAAATTCCTTTAGAATAAATCTGCATAAAATTCGTTAAAAATAATTAGTCACCCAATGTCAATGACAGCTCATTCTACTCATACAAGTAACTCAACTGAAGCACAAATTATTTTTAGTTTGTATTGAACAAAAATTTATCTACAAAAGGTCAAGAACAGTTGTATACAATTAAATACGGAAATTTAATGAATTGAAGTTGCAAAATTGCACAATTTTAGAGTTTGCAAGGTAAAACACATTACTTAAACTTATTCGACACCGAATGTTGCCCCCAAGGGAGCGAAATAGTCTCACAACCGCACACCAATGCACAAAAATTCGCAGCCGCATGCAATGCTCTTTGGAGCAAGCGTCTGTCCTCCGGCATTTCAGTTTTTTCATATCAAAGAAGTAAATATCCACTTAGAATTTGGACGGTTAAAATTTTTTAATGAAATCTTTATAAAAATTACTTAAACGATCCCTTGTATTTGGTATATTCCATATTCCTTTATTTTTTATTCATATAGATTTTGCTGCATCGGCAACGCCATCAATACATACACACTCACCTTTTTTAAAGGAGAAATTTTTCTTGACCAAATTTTTATTTTAATTTCACTTATAGATCACCAAATATACTTTCAAAACTTTATTTTATTTTTACTTAAGCAATATATTTACAAGTAACACTTATCTTTCTTGCTTTTAATTGAAATTGAAAATCTTAATCGCTTGAAAACTGCAACATCAGTTTTTTCCACTCAACAATTACAAAATGAGTACGGAAAGAAGTGCTAAATTTGATTCTAACACCAGATGGCGTCCAATAATTGCATTTAAACAGTGTTACCGTGCAAAGTAACAAAAGTATTGAAATAGTACATACTATTCGATACTAAAATATTGTGTAATTCAAAATACGTTGAATTTAATAACTAATTTAATTTAAATTATGTATGTATGCATAATAATGTATGCATAAAAGATGGCTTTCTTTTATAATGTAATAAGAATATTGAAATATAATAATTTTATACTCTAGTTTTTTATAACATATTTTAAAAAGTAATTGCAAAAAATATCTTTTAAGATAAAAAAGTATTTTTCCAATCCAAATATAACATACCAAGAATTTCCGGCAATAAGCTAAAAAGCTAAACTTCAGCAATAAGTTAAACGTCGATGAAGAAGTTCCAAAAATGTAATAAGCAATAGCTAAGTGTCCAAAAATCAAGAAAAATGAAGTCGAAAAATCTAAACACATTCTACTAATATAAACTTTTATTGACAAAGTGCACATCCCAACGATGTGAAGCTCTAGTTTTTAACTTTTAAAATTTTCTATGGATTTCTTGATAGCCTTTTCTTGAAAGACTGTGCACAATGTTATTATCGAAATTGTTTTTAATAAAACAATTTTGTAAACATTATTAAATTAATTTGTTATTCAAAGGTTAAACAGAAAGTAGTACTTTAAATATTTTAATTTTTATTCATTAAGTTTAAGTTAGAAAACATTTAAAATTCAAAAAATGTAACACAATTTCTTTCCATAAGCATATAAAAAGAAAATATTAGAATATTAAAACTAAAACGATCATTTTGACTTTGTTTTCAGGTAACAACTTATCTAACATGTTGTTTTGTAGCTACTTAGCTTATCAATCCCTGGTGCAAACGCTATTTCTGTAAACGCTGTTTGTTCAATAGTAATAACACTTGGTTGCTGCAGTATATAAATCATATCTTATTTACTATATATATATATAAAGCATATTGATGTTCATAAAAGCTTTTAACATAGTGCGTGTACTCAGAGATATAGCTATATATTTACTTATATATATATATAAGCTATATATATAGTTTATATTACAGCTATATAAATTATACCACATATAATAACACTAATAGGTAATGGGTAAAGGAAAAAGTCTAATATAAATTATACAAGTGTTAACCCTTATTAAATATTGTAGATACATATTTATCTGAATCATTTATATTGATTTAAAGGCATTTAATACAAAGTTTAGAGTTCAAGTGATAAATTAATCATATTAATATAGATTGAATCAACAAAACTTTCTAATTTTGTGACATACTAGCTATAAAATTGAAAACTTTTACATATAATAGGAGAAGCGCCCGATAAATAAATCTATTTTGTGATTATTGAAATCAATTAAATTAAATTTGTACACATGCATATATCAAAGTTTTATTGCACAAAAAACATTTACAATGAAAAAATCTTAAAACTAATAAATGCAACAGTTTCCCTAAAATATTTACAATTGAAAATAAATGCACATTTCATAACACAAAATTTTTCAAAAATCTTTTAAAAATGCTTAACTAACATTGGCACATTTTCTCATTGGAGCTCTTTCTCGAAATATGATCTACATTCTGAAAACTCCAAATTTAGTTTCATGACCGGAATTATTTAATGCTGCTTTCAAACTTAAACCCAAAATTTGTCTGGTATCAGCCGGATTAATTATACCATCATCCCATAAGCGAGCGGTACTATAGTATGGTGAGCCTTCCTTTTCAAAAGTTTCTATAATTGGTGCTTTTAGTTTTGCAGCTTCCTCATCGGAAAAAGTTTTTCCAGAACGTTTCCGTTGATCAGCAGTAATTTGTGCAAGAACGTTAGCTGCTTGTACACCACCCATAACAGAAATACGAGAATTGGGCCACATATAAAGAAACCGTGGTGAATAAGCACGACCGCACATTCCTGTAAAACGCATGATTACAAATATTTTATTATTAAAAACAATATCCTGAAAATAAAATCAAATAAAATTCTTACCATAATTACCCGCACCATATGATCCACCAATAATAACGGTAAGTTTAGGAACATTTGCACACGATACAGCTGTAACCATTTTTGCACCATTTTTAGCTATGCCATTGGCTTCTGCGTCACGCCCAACCATAAAACCTCAAATATTTATATTAAAAATTAAATAAAAACCGTTACTAATTTGTTACATAAAATTCATTTTCTCTTACCGGTAATATTTTGCAGAAATATCAGGGGTATTTTCCTTTGTGCACAAAGTTGTATAAAATGTGCACCCTTTAAAGCACTTTCAGAAAACAATACACCATTGTTACCAACAATTCCCACTGTATTTCCATACAACTTGGCAAAACCACAAACTAACGTTTCGCCGTAAAGTTTTTTGTACTCAGAAAACCGACTGCCATCAACAATACGAGCAATAACTTCACGTACATCAAAACTCTTTGTAAGATTTGGTCCTACAATTCCATATAGCTCTTTCTGGTCATAAACAGGTTGTTCAATTGCTTGACCCGATATTTTCTGTGCTGCTTTAACTGCTGCTTTGCTTGAATAAAACAATTGCTCATTATACGCATTTGTTCCAGGTAAATTTAAATTTTTGACAACTTGACGTGCAAGATAAAGAGCATGTTCATCATCGATAGCATAGTGGTCAGTAACCCCAGACGTCTTACAATGTAAATCAGCTCCACCTAAATCTTCAGCTGAAACTTCCTCACCTGTTGCAGCTTTTACTAATGGTGGTCCTGCTAAAAATATAGTACCTTGTTTTTTAACAATGATACTTTCATCAGCCATTGCAGGTACATATGCACCGCCAGCTGTGCAAGAACCCATAACAACAGCAATTTGAGGTATGCCTAATGCAGACATATTAGCTTGATTATAGAAAATACGTCCAAAATGTTGTTTATCGGGAAATACTTCCGCCTGTCTAGGCAAATTAGCACCACCAGAGTCCACTAAATAAATGCAAGGCAAACGGTTTTCTTGTGCGATTTCTTGTGCACGTAAATGTTTCTTAACCGTTATAGGGTAATAAGTTCCACCCTTTACAGTAGCATCATTTGCTACTACAACGCATTCCATACTGAAAATAAAGATGTACATGCATACAACTTTTATATAACAATTAAAACTTAAACATACCCACAAACTCTGCCAATACCTGTTACAATACCACCTGAGTTCACGACTTCATCGCCATATAAATTATATCCGGCTAAAGTACTAAGTTCCAGAAATGGTGATCCTTTGTCTAATAATAAATTGATGCGATCTCTTGCTAAAAGTTTTCCACGGGATGTATGACGTTCAACAGCCTTATCGCCACCTGTTATATTAAAAAGTATTATATCAATTGGATAAAATTTATTATTTAATAAACTATCAAGCTATACATTTGTATGTATGTTTAAATTTATAAATACAGAAATTCATGTTTCACATAAAAATAAAACACTGAAAAATTTTAGATTAAACAGTCCATTAATTAACTTTTCGATTTTACATCTTTTTATTTTTTTTTTCTATATTACATTTTATAATTATAGTGTTTGGCAAGAACTATAACAAATTTTAAAATGATATTTTCGGACCATATTTAAAATAGTAGAAGCTATAAAATGTAATAGATCAACAGAGATCAAAAACTAGACATATTTAAAATGCCAAAAACGTATTTTAGTTTTCGTAAAATTAATTGAATAAACTTTTTTAAAACATTCGTTTTAAATTCCATCATAACATTTAAAATATAATATTGTTGATGAACACAATTTACCATATATTCAGATTAAAACTCTTTGATATATTAAATAAATTTATCACAAATCGCAACATTTTTTAACAAATTATATTTGAAAAAAGCTAAAGAAATAACATTTCATATGCTAAAAATTGATGAAACTTATATGATGTAAATATAAATGAAGTAAATGTTTAGATAAATTTTGTATATATTGTTATAAATCGGATGCAGGTTCAAATACGTTCTGTTATATCTTTTATTCTAAATAATTGTGACATTTAATACCTACCACCTGTTAATACATTCTTGGTTATGTCACGCAATTGGGATACCAATTTAGACATTTCAGTACAATTTTCCTTAAAAAAGTCAATTATATTATAATTTTTTCTAAATAATAATAAATATAAGATATCATACTTTATATTCGGTAGAGTTTTTGTTTACAGCTGTTCGTAGAATATCTGCGTCGCCGACATGTAACAGACGAACTGCACTGCATTTTAGCACTTGATTTGAAATTGTGTTCCTCAGTGAGCTCGTTAATTTCAGCATTATGTGGTGCTTTACAAGTAAATTTTTTAATTAAAATAAAAATATATAAATATCTATGTTTTTTTCATTATGTTGACACTTACGGGTTGCAATATTGAACGCGAAATGGTTACATCACAGCGAACCGATAACGCTGAAATTGCACAGCTGAAGCGAATTTATGATCATTACAATCGGTAATCGCTATTATCAATATTTTATAAAATCGAAAAAATTTTATCATTGAATTGGATGAATTTTATCATTAAATGTACAAAAATTATATTATTTAATTTGCGTTTGTGTATAACATAGTGTTAAATTGTTACACATTTGATACAATTTTTATTAAAAATAATGTATGTATAAAACTGATTTAAAATAACAACAATACTGTAAAATAGATATTCAATAACTACGGTGCAAAACCATACATTGTGATAACATTATGCGTTTAAGCCGTGTGCGACTTCGAGTAAATTGAGGTAAAGTAAATTGAAATTTCCTAGAGATTCTTTGCACTGCACTTATGTAAATATTTATTCATTGCACTTACATATTATTTTGGTTAAAAGTTTTCAAATTTATTTATATATTAAACATCTTACAAAATTTTCATATGGTTACAACTAATTTACTTAATTTTTATTAAATTTGCACTACTCGAAATTCTGATGAATACCAACATTCACTGCCATGCCGACATAATCTACTATTTCCCTCAATTTACTCTCAATTTACTCGAACTCGCACGGTCTTAGTTTATTTTAGTTGACTATGTCTTTTCGAGTATTTTTTTTTTACCAAATATTCATTATTACATGTTTTTGGAAATATTTGTTAATTATATTAGCCCGTTAATAATATTTTTGATTAAAAGAACCAGGCGTTATGGCCAATCAATTAATGAAATGGAATTTTATTTTCGCAATGTTAAATTGCTAATATCTGAAAGTGATATATGTGTACTAAATATCTTATATGATATATGAATATTTAACACTTTAGCAAATTAACATGTCGCATTTCTAAAAAACAATTAAATTGTAAATTTCGAGACGGGTGTAACTGTAGTGCGAAGTATTAGAACTTTGATCCAGTTCGGCTTTAGTTGCTTACATGCAATGACGAAGTTTCTATTTTATATATATAACTCTTTAGCGTTTTACCATGAGTTTCTAATGCTAAATAAGTATAGAAAATTAACTTTTATTGACTGCCTCCACTTAACACAGAAAAGTTTCGAGGTTCGATTAGAACATTAAGAAACATTTTATAATTCTCACACATGGATTAAAATATGAATTGATTTAAAAACAAATTTTAAAAACAACTTTCACTGTACAAATAATTTTCAACTGCTGTATTGCTTTAGTATTTCACATTTTCGAAATTATTATCGATCGCTTCAGTTTGACACTTAATATCGAATTTTAGTGGTTGTCATTTTTCGGAAAGCAGCTCATAACCAAATTGAGTCAAGTATTAATATATTATTTTGCGAAAAAATTTATCCTGTGGAGAAATTTTAAAAATGTTGGGTCGTAGCAGTCTATTAGCACGTAACTTAACCAAATCTCTTGTTAGATTCCATAGTCATGGCGGTACTCCCGGAGAAGTAAGTTGCATGAACGCATGGTTACATAATAATAAAAATGAATTATAAAATTAAATAAAAAATTATAAAAATTGACATTACTTTTTGCTTACAGAATTTACCATTCAGTCTACAAAATCGCTATAAGTTAACTGCATATTTTGTATTATTCTTTGGATCTGGATTGGCTGCTCCATTCATGGTTGTAAGACATCAACTACTCAAGAAATAGAGTACATATTTATTTTCATAAATTACACTTTATAGTGTGTTTCTGAAATGCTTTTAAAATAAAAAATATGTATATCTTAAGTTAAAAGTGTACTAATACGTTTTTAAAAATAAATGTGAACACATTAAACCAAAATAGTTAAATTTAATAATTGCACAAGGAGGTACATGAAGATGATATATAAATCAGTTTGGAGCGTTTGTAATTTCGGCTACAAAAGATGTGTTGATTAAATAATTTTTTAACATACATACCTGTTTTTTTACAAACAAGTCAGATTTTGTATCAAAGTAAAATTTTCAGTCATATTTGATAAATATTGTATCAGAACGTTTCAAAGTAGACATTAGTACTAAGCCGGTTACATCAACAGTATTTTTGTGCGCTTTCTCATTTACATTGAAGATGATTGGTCGCTTGTCTGGTGTTCTTCGTGGTGTTCACCCATTTAGTGTTCTCGGTTACGGCCAGCTACGTAACATGAGCGGAGCTGGTCGACCTGGTTTACCTGGGCAGGTTAATAAAATGTTGGTTTGTCGTACGTATCTGTGTTAAATAATAATTTCTTAGAACTTTCCCATGGACTTTGATGGTGGCAAATATAAGATTACTGTCATTTTCATGGTTTTCTTTGGTGTTCCATTGGGTGCTCCATGGTTGGTTATCTGGCGTCAAATGACTAGAGATCAGGGTAAGAATGATGCCAATTTAATTAATTTTATTTTTGCATTTTATATAATTCGCTGTATTATATCTTGTATAAAATGTTAAATCAAGAACCTTATTTAATTAAATATTTCCGACGGTAATATCTTTCTATATGCTATCAGAAAAATTTGTTAAAAACTATCACGACTATTAAATATATTAATTATATATAAGAATATTAAAAGTTTGAAATTTATTTGTAGCTAATGTCCTTGATCTTATAATTTATATTTTGTTGTAGTTGTAGACCGAAGTATTTCTTTCTCTTTCTGTTCGTTTCAATGCTTTTGAACACGTTCTTGAAAGAATATTTATATATATAATATATGGTATATAATATGTCCATTTATTAAAAATTAACATAAACGCAGTAAGGCTATAGTATCAAAATTTTCTAATTTAAATTATTTTACAGCTTGACTCCAGTCCACGCGTTTTCATCAGTTTATCATACTCAAAATGTCTACAAATATCACAAACCTTTTTAATTTTTTAAATTTATAAAACATTAAATTGTTTCAATAAAGTTATTGCATTTATAAAAGTAAAAAATGTATTTGTTTCAATTTATAAAATTTTTAAGGCACATTAGTTTAATTATTAAACAAATTGTATTATGTAAGGACACTGGTAAGGTACACCAAATAATTTTTAAAAAATCACAAATCTTCTCTAACTTCATCAAACTGATAGTCATCTTGTAAAGGAGCATCATTACAGTATCGAGCTTGTTCAGTGCAAATTTTAATATCCAAATCAGTTCCAACTACATCCGCTTGAAATGCTTTAATAAAACTTTCTTCATGATCTTCTAGGATCTCCAAGCACTAAAAGAATATAACATCATAAATTTGTAATATTTAACAACTGCAAGATACTTACAAAATGTTTTAGACTTTTATTTAAATCTCCATCTTGCACAAAATCTACATTGGAAGTTTCTGGATTCATTTTTCCATCAATAATCATTTTTAAAACAGTTAATCTACCATTCGATTTATATGTTGCTTTAACATAATCATCCATTTTATCACCTTTAATTTAAATAGAATTAATACAATATAATTTTTGTAATTTCAAAAAATTACTAACATATATTTTCCATAAGTTCAGTCAGGTACATTTCAGACTTGGCAAGAGTAACGGATTTACCAACAGAGTTTCCGCTGGCATCTAAACGAAATCCACTTATATCTGCTTTTTTGTTTGGATCAACTTTTGCTATTTCTTCTTCCATTTCTTGTATTGTAGCCTTGCAAACTAAGTATAAAATTTTTTTAGAATATTTAAAAGTTTTAAACTTAGAATTATATTTACCGTGGCATTTCACATCCTTTGAAGTAAACCCATTAGTAACACTTGAAATTGTTAATAAGCCAAATAAAAACAAATATTTGTTTGACATCATATCGCTACTTAAATTATAATGAAATTTTTAAAACAAATCCCGTTATTAAATAGATAGTATCATTAACGTAAAAACCGTGTTTATTTTTAACACGTAGCAATGTGTAATTGGCCGAAAAAAATGAATTAATTCAAACGTCATCAGTAAGTAAATAAACAGTACCATATGATTGAAATTGAAACAAAGAACATTTCATAAAGACGAATTGATTAATTACAGATTATATTAATATATTGCATATTAATAGATGAAGTTTGTGAAAAATAAGATAAATGGGATTGTAAAGAAATATTCACCATTCCACAAAATCTATAAATTGTCAATTTAGATATTTTTGACAGTTTAGTAACTATTAGTGTCTACACTTTCAAGTATTGATTTGAATACTTATGTTAACAAAATATTTAGCTAGTTTTTAAACCTAATTTTAGATATTGCGGGACATATCAAAAAATTTTTATGTACAAGAATAGCTGTAATTTTTTCTTTCAGAGTTAAGTCTAATTAAAATAAATTGGCATCACTTTTAATATGTGTTAAATAATTTTTTTTATCATATAATTTTTGTTGTGTTGTATACAATATGAAATATAAAAATTGTAAAATTGTAATTTAAATAAAAGAAAACGAAATGAATATTAGAAAGGCAGTGGAAAGGATTTTTATTTTATATATATAAATTAGTTTATATATTTATGTATTTGTATTTTTTAGTAAATGAAATGCTCATATGATTTTAACAGATTACTGGAATTTTGCAACATATTTTAGTGAACATTCACAATACACTGATTTTTGAATTTGTCTCTAAAAATTTTAAAAGCATTGTAGTTGCTTCACATTTTTTTCTTTCGTAAATTTGAAGTATATTTTTGTTACCCTGAAAGAAAAAATTACGGCTAATATTACAAAATACGTACTATATTTAATCCAATAAAATTAAATGATTTTCATTTTTATATCTAATTTTACAGATTAATAGATGAGAACATTTTCCAAAATTTTTCAAAATACATCTAAATATCGATTTGAAAAAAAGTATGTATTAATTTTTGTGTGTACATCTTATTAAACGTACACATACACATATATATGGTATATATATATGTATAGTGATGCATACTAAATCCGTACAAAATCTTGATAATGAGTTTGTGCTATAATTCAAATTATTTAAGTAATTGTAATTGTAAGAAACTAATAAGTGCTCCCGGTTGAAGCCAGCTAGTCTAGAAATTGATTGTTATTGTTTGCTTATTGTTGTAGAAGCATATTACAAATAAAATAATCTGTATAAAATGTATATATGTTTTTAGTTTTATATATTAATAATTATTAAATTTTTTAATATGCATTTTAGAATTGATAATAGAAATTATTAATTTAAAGTGTTTATTTGCAAATTATATAAAATATTAATTAAAACCGCGACTTGGCAGCACTGCATATTATGCTGTACATATATTTGTATAGAAAAATTGAGTATAAATATATATGTCAAAATCTGCCATTTTGTTTTCATAAATACAAAATAATATATAAATATAATAATGCCAGTGTTATATTAATCAAAAATTAAAAAAAAATGTGCAAACACGTAGTTTATAAAAAAGTAATAATGTCGCATAAATTTCGTATTTTAAATCTAGGCTTTTTCTTAATTATATTTAAAATATGAATTTTTAAGAAATAAAAGTTGTGTATAAAATGCTTGTTTCAAGTATATGTTTCGTTTATTTAAGCTTTGTAAAGTTTCGACCTCGTCCATTTACCTGCCTATTTAGAAAACTAAAACCAAACGGCAATAGCCGAAAAGCCGCAATAATAGTACAAAATGGTTTCGCCTTGGCTACAGCGCGCCATATTGCGAAGTTGATTTAGTCTAGATCCGGTCAGCTGCGAAGTAGGACGTAATTTCGATAGTGTTTATTAATGTGGTTTAATAAGTTATAAGTTTTTATATAAAGAGAAATATAAATTGAGAAAAGTGCTTTAAAATCAAACAAAAAAATTCAAAAATTATTTGGCATAACAAATAAATAATATCTGTGAACATTATTTTGGTGCAGTTTTAACATAAATTAGTAAAAAGTTTAAAATTTGAGAAAAATCGATTTTCTGGAAAACATTGTAAAAAATTGAAAAAATTATAATTCAGGTAAATACAGAAATTTTGTGCATTTTTATATATTTTGTGTATAAAGCAATAAATATGCAGAATTGTGTTCAATGCTCGCAGCAGCTGTTTAATTAAATTGTTATTTAGTTGCTTGTATCCGTGTATGTATTATTTTTAAATTATATTTTGTATGTTAAGAGTACGCGATTTAATGAGGCATAAAAATTAAGAAAGGTGCTATTTGATTTAATTAAATAAAAGCAAAATTTGCATGTTGCTTTTTATATACACCTAACCTCAATGGTGTATTATTGCTTGCCATAGATAGTAAAAATAGATACAAACATATATTCTTTAATTTGGGGCAATTAAACAAATAGAATTAGAGTATAAATAAATTCCAAGTTATGCTAAACAATTAAAAGTAATTTTTGTGGTGTAGAAATGTCTGCTTTGCCGCGCAACTGGTTTTTTGAGGTTAGAATTTATTTGTAATTATTGAAATTAGCAGTGCTAAAGGCGAATTTATAACCAAGTATGTATAATATCTTTGCTGCAAAATTTGTTGATATGTTATTAGCAATTTCAATTACAGAATTTACTGTTTATGCATACTTTAGTAGAAATGAGTAAATTTTCCTAATAAATAATTTATATATATTATGATTTAAGTATCAGATAAAAAACAAGCAAAAACAACGACGTAAATACACATACATATGTGGTATTTTTCAATCACACATTTGTACGCAATACATTGAAATATTTAAGAAAAGAGAGAACTGGAAAGAGTACAATCGTGAGACTGCTGTCGTCATCATGCAGAGTTAACAAGTCAATACCAACTGTAGAAATATTTAAACTTATGTTTTGTGAAAAGTTTTTGCAAATGTCATTATTTGATTTCTTAAAAAATTAAATGAAATAACTTTTGTAGTAGCTACATTTATTTTTTTGTTATATGTACTCTTAGTACACTAAAAGTATATAAATAAAATTATAAACAAAATAAAAGTGGATAATGGTTTCCAAATATGTATATTTACATATCGTTCTTTCTCGCAGTCTTTTGCAGAAGTAGTCTTTCAAAAGTAGGTAACACTGTTTTTGCTTAACGCGCCAATAATTCACGACTGCAAGAGAGAAATATATCATTACTTTATTTTCTATGTAGTGCTTTAAAAGAAGTTCATGTATTCATAAATTTTATAATTTTCAAGAGGTAGCTTTGGTTTTGCAAAAATAAACTCATTTCCTTTTAAAATTCTGGATTTGGCATAATGTATTCAAATAATACATTATATATGAATAAAGTGACATGTGACTTAAATTTGTTTAATAAAACTCCCAAATTATAATTAATTGTTTACAAATACTCATGTATAAATATTAAAACAATCCTTTTGGAAGTTCAGAATTGACATTTCAAACAACTATAACGAAATCCTAATAGTTTAGAAGTTAATTTAATTGCTTAATTTTTGTGTTAATTTTAGTAATATTCAAAAAATTGCTTAATTTAATTTTCGTGCTTCCTCAGTTTTTATAAAATTGAAATTTTATGAAATAAATTTTTATGGCTTAAAAGTGAATTACAATTCTAGACAAGATTACAATTCTATCCGTTAACACCCAACCTAGTTTTACTGACACTATAATAAAAATTTTTAATTATCACTCACAAATAATTAGAATTGTTCTTCTTTACTTGTTAGAACTGAAATGCCATCAGAGAAATTAATATACATACATATATTTTTCATAGTCCAGTTTTTTTTTTGTAGAAAACAATATTGAATAATTGAAATCAAGATTCAAATTTAATATCGTATTAAGTTCTCTTTTTATGACTTTTGCTAAATTTTATGCACACATCATGAAATAACTTTTAAATTAATAGCTATCATAAGATAGTTTTATAAAATAGCAAAAGTATTTTGTAGTATTCCAAGTTTCATTTACTGAATAATGAATTTTAAAGGTAGCAGTACTCTGCTTTTCAGGAAACCTAGAAACCAAAATGCATATTGCAACTAAAGAATCAATTATCTGTTAATAGAAGCACAAGAAAAATATTTGTAAATAAAATACATTCTTTGATTTTAAAGGTGGATGGCTTTTATATAGTGTATGACATTTATGAAGGTTTTTCCACATTCAGTAACTCTTAGCTTTGTATTCTACCATAAGATTAAAGCACAAAAAATATGTTTGTATATAAAACACATTCCTTGATCCGCTAGGAGGTGGATATTTTTCACATTTTGTACATTTATCATCTATAAAGATAAGCTACCTACAAGAAGAAATTTTTTTAGTTCATATATGCTACTAAGGACAATTAGGAGTCTTGATTTAAATTTATTGGGAGTAAACTGGCACACACATTTTGAAAAACTTACTTTTTTATTATTGATGAAAAAATTGATTCTTTCAAAACTGCGTAACCAACTTGTTAACCATTTCCTATCATATGCATCTCTAAACATGCCTGATTGGTGACTCGAAGAACGCAAACGTTCTTAGTTTTTGAAACCAATGTTAACATAATATATAATAAATGTTATATTATATTCTGAGATTCAAATTTGACACAAAGTAAGTTCAATCCTTGGTACTTGCAGTCTAAAGAATTATTTACGAATGATTATATATAGGAAATATACAAAAAGATCATTGACAATGGGTATATTTCGTAATACTTTAAACAACTGTATGTTCAGCCAACAATTTAGTGAAATATAAATGTTGTTCTAATATACTACTGTTCAAAAAACCTTTCTATTAAGAAATTAAGATTTATTCAATTAAGTTTTGACAAATATATTGTTTTACCAATATTATATTATTTTTGCTTTAATGCTTTTAGGTATTATACCTATCTATCGCACAAAAAAGTGTTCTTCAGAAAAGATCTGCATGGAGTTTATTATGTGATATCAATGATGATGCAGTTTAGTATTAATACAGTTTATTTAGTTCAAAATATTCACTTAGATACCTAAATATTAGCAAAGCATAGAAGGGTAATAAAAGTTCTGACTTTCTTGTTAAATAAGAAGTCTAATGTTAACTAATTGAATTTAGCCATTCTGTACTCTAACGACAGAGTATGTTGTGGATAAACTCAAGTACTCTGTGAAGTTTAAAAACGGGCGAAAAGCTTTAACGCATTCAAGATGATTTCAACTGCTTGCATTGAGCAGAGAGGACATTACTGCAATAAAATAAAATCGTCAACACTAAAATGACACATCCTAGGGACAGTATTGTTAACTTATGCAGCATATATAGGACATAATAAAACCGCCTAATGTGTTCACGTTAATTAAAAACCTGAGCTATTACGACAACTTGAGTTAGCACAATAGACCATTTGAGTTTTGGTGCATAAAATAATATTAAAAGAATATAGTATTGTATTGGAGATGAAATACTTTTCCATTAATGACTTTGATAAGTTGGTTAAATTATGTTGGATATGAGTTCTTTAATATATTAATGCAGTTTATTTGGTTCTAAATATTCATTGCACTTTGCTTAGTGTTTGTGAGTATATAAAACAAATTATTATAAAAATATAAATATTAGTTTTGTGAGTGAGAGATATACAAGTCTATTAAAAACTGTTTTTTTTTTCTGTCCTTATATTATAAATATGCATAGATATATTAAAATAGTAAAATTAATCAATTAATCAAAATTAGGCGGTCAAAGTTTATAATTATGGATATAAAAAAATTGATTGTATGACTTGAGTTTGGAAAAAGGGTTTGATTTCAGTCATTTCCGGTAAATGCAGATAATTTGCAATGTTGTGGAATTAAGTAAATTCATTCGCTGCAGCTTTGCAAAAAATCTAACAAAAAAACTTTCACAAACTAAGAAAAAAAAGAATGTAACAAATAATTAAAAAAAAAATTCAATATCAACTTTATTGTAAAACGTTATATTGTTATTTATAATTTAAATAACACTGCACAAAAATTTAGTTATTTTTTCGGCTTTGCTTTTTTTTCACCTTAACTTTTACACATTATGAAAATACATTTTAGTTTCTGTTGTTTTTTGATGTTGTTGTTGTTATAGCTAACTTAGCGTGGACACCAGTGAGCGTCTTTAAGTTAACTTGAAGTATAAAAGACGTTTAACTCGAAAAACTAGTTTTTGAATCGTGTTTATTTTTATTTGTTTCTTAAATGTTTTTTATATTTTTTATTTTCTTTATTTTTTTGTGTAACCCATGCGATCTTCTTGTGCTGCTGGCGGCTAGGCCCATTGCGCGCGTTCGCTTGGTAAAGTGTTGAAGTTGTTAGTGGTGCTTTTGTAGTATCGCATACATTGATTGAGGCTTTCCTTTCGTTTTATACTTTCTGATTGTTAAAAAAAATGTATCGAAAGTGTACAATCGGTATTCGTAAGGGCCATCATCGACCAAATTAAATTATAATTAAATTTTTTATTTTCTAATAATTCATACAAGTTCTAGGTTAGGTTAGGTTATATCAGCGATTCCTGGTGGATCCACTTAGGCCTATTGGCCCCTTGTGTTACCGATACAAGTTCTAAAATACCAAAATAACATATTTTGATTTAAGAAAGTATAATAAGAAGCTTTTTGAAAATAGTTGCAACATTTGGGTTTGTGTGTTTCGAGTACTTATAAGTACTTTGAGTAAAAGAATTTATACATATTTGATAAAAACCTTCATACACTGTTGTAAAAAAAGTGTTTCGCATAAGATCTCTCTAAACATATCTTTCTATATTAATCCCATTGCAATTTACAGAAAGTTCAACAGTGTTCATTTAGTTTTGTACTTTAAAAAAATTCAAAAATCTAAAATCTAATATAGTAAACAACCACAAATTACCACCCAGTCTTCTTACCAAATTATTCTCATATGTGTTACCAAGAAGAAAAGTTTAAGTGATATACTTATTCTATTACAAAAGAACATCTTTCTCCCCCAACTCTTTTTTTTTAAACCTCTTTGTAGTATATATTAATACATATAACATCAGAATATCTTACAACA